GGGGGGGGGGGGGGGGGGGGGGGAGAATGGGTGTGTATATCCAGTGACTCTTAAGTTTAAAGTCTTCACAGAAGGCAAAACTGTCACATAACCAAAATAACCCTTGAAGATTTCCTAAATAGCCGATGAGGATTAACTGAGATATATCTACAAAAGCATGGAGCCACAAGTTGTTAGGTACTTGGTAAATGATTTTGTATTTGAATTTAAATCTTGTTTTATTTGAGCCATACACAAAGTTTTTGTTCATGGGATAGTTAAATGAGGAGTCCTTGTACCTGGTATCCTACCTTGTAATTTTTTGTTTTCCCCTCCCCCCACCTCAACAGCTATGGCTCTCATAGCCATGGCTCTTGGTCTCCTGAGCTCTCTCATGGATTCTTATCTTAAAGTGGGGGTGAGAGTCTAAAGTGGGCACAGTGAGGAGGCAGCATGACTCCTCTGGGTGCTCCAGAGACCCTGTGGGCATTACCACAGTGACCCTCCAGTCTCATCAGGGCCTCTGGTTATTATCCCCTTCAGATGAGGAAGCTGAGGCTCATAAATTATGAGCATGGTCACTCAGAACTGAAGGGCAGCTCATTCTCATTCCAGAATACAAACTGCATATATAAATAAAATATATATAGGGTGTCCCCCCAAAATGTATATATATATCACTTTGAATAATGATAAAGGCAGTGTTTATTAAAATACATTTCCTTTTCAAAATTGAGCTATCAGCTGTTAAAGTGAGTGTGTATTTTTTGGGAACATACTGTATATTAAACTAAGTCCTTTAAAAATAATCTTGGGGGGAACCAAGTAATGAGACTTAAACTGGTCCTTTACCATTAAGTGTTAGAGATGTCATTAATTGTTTGCACATAATGCCTTGTAGAGGAAAAGATAGCTCCCGCCCACTTTTTTTGGTAAATTGAAATGACCAATTTTGACCTTTCCTTTGGTCAGATCAAATCGTGCACTGATCAACGTCTGGATCCCATCAGTGTTTCTCCGGGGCAAAGCAGCGAATGCGTTCCACGTGTATCAGGTAAGCACCTGCTTGTGAGGCTGGCATTGCTGCTGGGGGAGAACTGACACTCGTGTTATGTTATGGTCTTTGCCTTTTGGTAGTGGAGCTCTGGTGCTGTACTTAGCAGGCCACAGCTACAAGCATCAGCATTCCAGCTGCCCAGCTCCTTGAGGAAGTGGTCCTCCATCAGAAGGAGGGAGCCGGTGGAGCTTCTCAAGCTAGTTAGGCCTCTCAGTGTGGCCGTGGCCGCTCAGCCCAGACTGCATGAGCAGAAGTGGGATTTCTTGGCTTTTGCTGGAACGGAAGAGTTCAGGTGTAGCTCTGGCCTCAGAAACGACTGGTTCTATGTCCAGGAATCTGCTGCCATCTCCTGTTTCCCTCTGCTGAGGCCTCCTTTTCAGGCTGGCTCTCCCTGTGGGTTGATGAGGTGGCTCCCAGCAGCGCCGGACTCAGCCTCAGGGTGGTTTCAGCCAAGTCTCCAGCATTTCTCATGGGTCTGTCTTGCATCTCAAGTCTATCCCTAACCCTGGGATTAGGTGATGGACTTCTATGATTGGACAGGTTTGGATCACATGACCACTGCTGGCCCGAGGAAGAGGGACTGGAGTGGGCCTTATCTGACCATGTGTCTGAGAAGGGGAGATGTGGCTCCCCAAATGTAAACGAGACTGCTCTTTCCAAAGAAGGGGCAACAGGTAGTTGACAAGCAAAAACCTCCTTAGGGTAGAGCTGGCCACCCACTGATTGGGAGTTGAGTGTCTGAGATCATGAGACCTTTGTCTGTTTTGGAGGTGATTTTGCCTCAACGACTAGGACCCTAGTTTTCCATCGTTTCTCTGATTTTCTGATGCCTCTTCCAGCCCTGCCTGTGTTCTTGCCTTGGATCCTGATTTCCAGCCATTGTTGTTCACTTGTCCTGGGACTGTTTTGTTTTCAACTCTTAGCTGAAGCTTGTTCTATTGTCTTCTTGTATCACAACAGTTTTCACTAAGTTTGGTTTTCTTCCCCTTGAGCTCTGTGAAAAGCCTTGAGTTTTGTTGCCGTTTTTCTTAGTGGGGAGTTGACCTGTTGAAGAAGTCATCTCAGATATTCCCCAGAGACAGAGATGGTGAAAAAAATGACATTGCACTTGAAAATAAAAGCCCTGGTTTCAATTTTATGGCCGTAAGTAAACCTTAGTTTTCTCACCTGTGAAATGCAGATAACAATACTTACCTTGGAACCTTCTTATCAGCATTAGAATTATATGGCTCCCAGTAGATGCATAGTTTCATTTCTTGTCCTCTGAAATGATGGCCATGTTTGGACTCTGGGGCAGGTCCAGTGGTGGACATGCGTTACAGAGGAATAAGCGTGAGCATGACATGCACATCTCGCCTAAAACCTCAGGGACAGGTGATTTTAGCAAGGACACTTGCACCGGGAGTCATTTAGCTTCCTTGCTTAGCTGGGCAACACTGGCACTTTAATAATGTGTTAGAGTAGCTAGGTATTCGGGTTGCTCTCAGCTCTGACTTAAAAAGGGGAATTAGATATGACAGATTTCTGAATATCTTCTCTGTCTTTCTCTTTCTATCCCAAACCCCAACAAACACACATATTCCCTTCCAGTTCTGCTTTGCGGTCCTCAGAAAGCTGGGAGGTGTTGCCCTGAGGATGAAAAGAGTGAGGCGATGGCTTTCTTTCTGGGCAAAATGAAAATGTGATATCACTTGAGAGGATTCCCTGACCTTTCATTTTGGACTCTCCCCTTCTTACCCCAGGAAGCGAATTGGCAGGTTTTAGCTTCTGAAAGTCAGTTAGGAAATGAGACGGACACAGCAAATATGCCGTTACCTGGGAGATTGTTTCCACAGCAGTCATAGTGGCTTTCCAGCCTCTCTCCCGAATACGCTGCTTTCAGAGCTTTCCTGGGTGTGGTCCAACCAGTGCACAGGGACTCAGCCAAGATTTCATCCAGCACCCAGGGCAGCTGCAGCCCTCACAGGGGCTCTCTAGAACCTCCCTTGATGCTGGAACGTGTGGAGAAGCACCTCTTGAAGGCAATTGTTTTAATCCTTTTAGCTAATGGTGCTTCTGTTTGGTACCTCTGGAGCAAAAGCTGAATGTGTGTTTTGAAGCTGTTTAGAAAACCTTTGTTACAGTGTTTTTTTTTCTTTTCTTGTTTTTAAGATCATAAATTATATTGAACAGAAGCTGAGTCATTTAAAATACTGGTAGTATTGGACATTATTTTTCTTATAAAAAGATGCATTCTACATAACTCCACAAAAGATAATTTTTAGAGAAACTCATAGCAAAGAATGGTAAAATAGAGGTAAGAAATAAAATATCTGAGTCAGAGAAAATATAAACTAAGAGAATTTCCATTAGGGAAACACTGGAAATCGTATATGGCTCATGAAATTCTACACAGTTGTTCTCATTGATTTGTGAATTTCCTATGGTCTTCCTGGCAGCCAGTGTGAAAATGAAAATGTGTCTATTTTGGATAATTCCACTGATAATGAGAAGAAAATATATCATTTCCTCAAAAGGAGCTTTAAAAGAAATCTCCACACAGCTTTAGGTTGAGCAATAATGAGGGATGTTTTAGACAATACCCTATTACATCCCTGTGACAAGTCCCTGTTGGGTTTTATAAGATCTCCCTCAAAGGAAGCAAGGACATAGCCTCAAAATGAGCATAAGTTCATTTGAAGAGCCGAGATGAAAGGATTGGCATGTGTAGTTTCCTCAGTAAATCTGTGCTGTCCATTATGACAGCCAATAGCCATGTGTGGCAGTTTAAATTTCAATTAATTAAAATTGAATGAAGTTAAAAATTCAGTTCCTCAGGCACACTAGCCACATTTCAAGAGCTGAAGAGCCACATGTGGCCAGTGGCTGCTATTGGACAGTATTAGGCAGAGCAGATCTAGGACATTTCCATCATTGCAGAAAGTGCTATTGGATGGTGATGCTCTGGAATGATGTCTCCCAGAGTGGTGGAAAACAAGATGATTGTATGTGTGCCTGGGTGATTTCAGAAAGACAGAGGCCTGACATTCAATACAACTTCTGCGGGGGAAAGATCACTGGATTTTCAGCCCTTTCATTGCTTGTGATTAGCCAGAGGAAAAAGTCTCCGATCTCCGAGTGGTCACTGTGCCTTTAACACCCGCTAATCTTTCTTTTTAGCAAAGACAGAGGAAGGCTCAGGATCAGAGCCTTTGGCAGGCAACAGACTTACATGTAATCAATTACATTGTTTTGTGTTCATTATATTTAGCTTTACATTTGCTTTCTAGTTAAAGGGGAGAATTCCGTTTTTTCATTTACCATGGTGAAATATAATTCCCTTTTAAAATAAATATAAGTAGAAAGTGATTCAGCTTAAAGAAAAGCACTAAGTAAACAGTAGTGAAAACAGCTGGAACTTTAGGACAGTGCTGTGTGAATGAATAATATTTGGGGAACCCTGATCTAAAGGAATGGATGGATTGTGATAAAACAGTGGTAATAGTAATACTTCTAACACCAGCAGCCGCCTCTCACTGTTCATTCGGTCCTCACAGCAACCCTGAGAGGTGAGCACCCGTATCCCCATTTCATGGATGAGGAAACAAAGGCACAGAGAAGCACCTCATTCTGTAACATGTTTTTTTCAGTCCAAATAGCATTTTGTGACAAGATACCAGTTTGCAGATTCCGTGAATGAGGGAGGGTGGAGTTCACCTCCTTAAGAATCCGAGAGAGATGGGGCAGTTGCTTCATTCTGAAGGGCAGGGCCCAGCCTGACCAAGGTCCTGCCTGCATGGACGTCCTCTGCATCCCTGAGGCAGTGGGCCAACGGCACACCTGCAGCAGAGCCAGGCTGCTTTCTGTAGGAGGGCCCTGGGCCCCCTGCAGACACGTTATATCAAAGCCCTGCTGATCCCAGAGCTGGGCTGAGGTGGCTTGATTTTGGAAAATTGTTGAGGGTAGGTACCGGCTCACAGTGACTGCTCCCGTCATAGAAGGGTTTCAGGGATGCTTCTGAATACATGGTTTCCATGCTCTCCTCCTCTGTTCCGAGGTGAGGGCTGAGTGTTTTCTGGCTCTAAAACTAAGAAATGGCAGCATTTGACTAATTTTCAGAACAAGTAAAATTGATGTCCAGAACTTTCTAACTCAAGTTTTCATCCATGAATATTTCTTACACTTCTGGCCCCACTAATGCTTGGCTCCTGGCAGACACTAGCCAGAGGTAAAATGATTAAGCAGCAACAAATAAAATGTCAGGAACAGGACTCAGTTCCGAACTGGTCTTGCCCAGTTGTTCTCCCTCTCTCTCTCTCTGAGTGAACACAGTTGTGCTTCCAGGTTTGAGTATCCGTCACTTCCATCTGGTGTAGTTACATCAGTTGTTAATTAGCTAGTTCCTGGTTTCTACCTTTGTAAATGTTTGATGTTATTCCCCAAATGCCCTGACTTACAAACAAGTTTGAGGCCCACTGTGTTAATATCCTACCACAGTGTTTATAAAGGCAGCTAGACCTTAAAACAACCCTCCTATTTCTTTCTTAAGCAAATATTGCAGCCACTAAATTGGTCTGAGCCCTTAGGTCTTTCCCTTTGAGAAGAGCCATTCACTCTAAGTACAGCTGGAATGGGGCCTCTATGTGGGATTAATTTCAGCCTTTGAATTTAGCCACCAGAAACACTGGCTGCTGTACAATATCCCATTTGCACAGCACAACTAATTAGGTCTCCTTTGTAAAGAGGTTGCTTTGTTTCAGCAAAGCTTTTTCCTTCTAGAAGAAGTCCCCTTTGCCGGAGAGCCCAGGCTTGGCTTGGAGGAGAGGTGCTCCCCCAGGAAGTCCCACCGAATGTGTGAGGTCTCCCTTCCCCCCAGGAGGAAATCCTAGGTTCATTATAGCGCAGGGTATTTATATATGCGACACAGGGAACATCCATTGTTTTCCTGTTTATCATAGGTCACGGGGTCCAGCTGGGCTGCGTGGGGCTGTGCGTAGTTTGGAGGATGGTGGTGGTTT